CCCAGCAATTGGGTTGTTTTGACCCAGCGATTTGGTTGAATGTTTAACCCAACCTTCTGGGCAGTAACCCAACCGCTGGGTCAAAACAACCCAATTGCTGGGTTTGTCCCTATTTTACCCAGCACTGGGTTGTATTTATCCCAGCATTTTTTTAGAGTGTAATTAAAAGCATATTTTCTGATTCGTTAAAGGATACTTCCACTCTACAATGTTGATGCAGGCTTCTGAGGAAGAGGAGGGATCAAAAATGAACGTGTCCCCACCATCCACTCTCTTTGTCTGTCTGTCCCTCAGTCTATGTCTCTCACTCGCTCTGCTCTTGTTTGGTTAGTACTGCAGCTCTGACTTAAAAAAATTAATATAGACAATGCGTGTCACTCAGTTTAAGTGTGTGTGTTCGGGGACAACAGAGCATGACATAGTCGTGGTCACAGAGACATAGATAAAGAGGCAGGACATTCACACAGTCAAGACTTTTGGAGTGTTCTCATTGGCTTGTTCTGGTTGGGCTTTGTGACATCACTGAGTTGCCAAACCTATCAGCTCACAGATGAATCATTGTGATTTTGCAATTTGAATTATTATTTATACATTTGATTTATGTTTATTTACACTGTAAAAATGATCAATACGTTATGGAAAAATATATTTTTCAGTGCTTAAAAATTTAACCAATTGCAACATTTTGGGGACTCACCTACAGATGAAATGACATGTGCAACCAATTTGATTAAACTTACAAAATTTAAGGCAACAACTGGGTTTATGAACATTATAAAAAAACACACAGAAACAAGATGACAAACAACAAACTATGTATGTCTAAGTAAAAACAGCCCCATTCCAAGTATAATTTAAGATTTATTTGAATTAAAAATAAAAAGTGTAAAAATCACAGTTCACATGACCACATGAGAATTCAACAGCAGAAACAGGGTGTCGTGTTGATTTCAAGGCTGTTTTGGGGCGTCGTGACCCCTGTGTCCTCATGTCCCAGTCTGAAAACACACTACGTCACGCTAGCCACCAAAACGCCACTCTTGAGCCATATTCAGCTCATTTCAGAAGATTTCATTACTTTATTGAACACCAAACTTCTGTAATTATTCGCAACATTTCCTGGATAGCTCTTTTTGAATTACAAATTGTGCTTTTGCGTCATTGAAACATACACTCTAAAAAAATGCTGGGTTAAATACAACCCAGTCGCTGGGTAAAATATGGACAAGCCCAGCGAATGGGTTGTTTTGACCCAGCGGTTGGGTTACTGCCCAGAAGGCTGGGTTAAACATTTAACACAACTGTTGGTTGAAAACAACCCAGTCGCTGGGTATATCCATATTTTACCCAGCGACTGGGTTGTATTTAACCCAGCATTTATTAGAGTGTACGCTATTATCTGAGAACCGCTCAGGGTTTGAGCATCGTTTTGGAGTAGCGGGATAAAAGTCGTTTGAATGATGTTTTCTGTACGTCTTTAACTCCCGACAGACTCCTCAGAAGACGATTCGGAAACGGAAAGCGGCGACGCTCCTCCGTTCTGCTCCGCCCTGCCCGCGTTCTCCACCAGATCCTGCAGGTACTTGATGTAGC